CACGCCCCCATCCTTCCCCGCTCGTCCCGCCGCTCGCTTGAAACGCGAAGGGGCAACGAATCCGGAAGCCGATGCGCAACGTCGGGGTGGTGGCCGCTAGAGGGTCCACCCTCTTCACCGTCACCGTGCTCGCGCCGGAGGAGAGCTGGGGTGGGAAGGGCGGGCGGGGGGAGAAGTTCAGGCAGATGGCCAACAGCTTCCGGCTAGCGTTTTAGGGGTTCTGCCACCGAACTTGGAGAACGCGGTTTAGGTTGGGTCTGATTTTTGGCTTTTGGAACCGACCCTCTTGCTCCGCGAGGCAAACGTTGGAACTACACCAGTGTGTGCCAGCCTTGAAGTTCGAAAAACTGTCGGCGAGAGAGAGAGCGGCGCTCTCCAGACAACGTTTGGCTTTCGATACAGCATTGCCTGCCTCTGGGAGCTTGCATTGGTGTAGATGAGAGATGGGATTGAACTCAGGAGGCACGTGCGTCTATGTAAAGTAAAACATCGAAATGATTCGTGAATATGCTAGACTTGTGTCGTGAGGCTTGCGTGGGTGGGATGGTCTCCCGACCAAGCATGAGGCAAGAGGATCGGGCCTGGAGTCCGGTAACAATGCCCTCTCCCCGGATGAGCAACGCGTGTCCATATCTGTTGATGTAGTCTGCGCGCTGTTTCCAGTAATGAGAACCGAAGAGCTCCAGCGTTGTGCAAATGTAGCATGTACTACTCGGGACAACACAGCAGCCGCAGCAGTGATGTACAGACGTACACCTACACCAATCCACAGGACTTTCGGATTTTCGGCGCGGAGATATGTATGTCCCCGACTTCGACACTACACAAGCGCGTTGGCCCCGCGCGGAAAAGCTCAACCCTCATGGCGATTTTTTGCCGGACCCATGGAAAGAAGTGGCACTTTCTTTTGGATTCACGAAAATAAAGAATGGATGTGCCGTGCGCAATTATGTTAGCGGCTGTCTCTTTGCTTACTGTAACTACCGCCCACGTGATGCTGGGAGACGTTTGCAGTAAGACAACAAGACAGCGCGAGGGGGGATGGGGACCGCCGAGAGCCACGTTGGTGGGAGCGCAAAGATCTCCTCGCACAGAGGAAGGCGTAAAAACTTTGCTCGCTTTTGTCATACTGCCGCTACTGCTGCTGCTGCTGCTGCTGCTTCTGCCCCCTCCTCCTCCGTTGTTGCTTGCTTTGATGCAACCTTTGATCCTTTGATGGCCAAGCCGGCGTGGGGACCGCCGAGAGCCACGTTGGTGGGAGCGCAAAGATCTCCTCGCACAGAGGAAGGCGTAAAAACTTTGCTCGCTTTTGTCATACTGCCGCTACTGCTGCTGCTGCTGCTGCTGCTTCTGCCCCCTCCTCCTCCGTTGTTGCTTGCTTTGATGCAACCTTTGATCCTTTGATGGCCAAGCCGGCGTGGGGACCGCCGAGAGCCACGTTGGTGGGAGCGCAAAGATCTCCTCGCACAGAGGAAGGCGTAAAAACTTTGCTCGCTTTTGTCATACTGCCGCTACTGCTGCTGCTGGTGCTGGTGCTGCTGCCCCCTCCTCCTCCGTTGTTGCTTGCTTTGATGCAACCTTTGATCCTTTGATGGCCAAGCCGGCGGGGTCTTCAGGAAAAAAGGTCTGTTGATGGGAACGGACGGTCTATTCACCGGACAAGGTCGTTAATGATTCCACCGCTTTTTGGGCGCCGATATAGGAGATGGAGAAAGGGGGGAAGGAGCGGTGAGCGAGAGACAGACAAAGAGAGACAACGAGAGGGCAACCGCAAATACGCAACCCCCGCCTCGGCGCCAGCAAGGAAGAGGGAGCGAGGCGCCTTGGTACCCCGAGGTGGACGCAGGGCGCGCGGGGCAGCGCGCTGGTGATTTAGCCGAGAACTAAGGTATGTACGAACGGGCGACATTTTCTCGTTTTTTGTTTCCCAGTCCCAGCAGCAGAGGGTGGCGGTGACAAGAAATATTGCAGCACACAGCAGCAGCAGGCGGGCACCATGGCAGCAATGATCATGGGAAGAAGGCGGGCTCCGATTCTAGGGGCCAAATGACCGAGCTAGAGCGCGCGCAGGCCTTGCTGGGGCGACCCTCCTTGTGTTTATTTTTCCCCGCCCCGACGCATGAAAAACACTTTCCAACAACAACAAACCCCGAACGACCCACTTTCCCGGGCAACAACGGCAGATGACGCGGGTGCAATCTATCGATGCCAACAATGCCCCTGACGTGTGTACGCTCTTCCTGCTCTTGCTCTTATGCGTTGCTGGGACGCCGTTGTCTTTAGCGTAGAAGACCCTTGCCAGGGTTTGGTTTCTTGCTCGTGGACGCAAACGCGTGGGCTTTGGTTTTGGCGCCCTCTCTTTCGTCGTTCCCTCTCTCTCCCCTCACCCCGAAGACTTGTTTCTGAATCCTGCTGCTGCTGTGTCTTGTCTCTTGCAATTATGGTGCACACATTCCACACACATATATGCCGTTCTGCCGTTTCACCCCACAGACATGAGAGCAGTGCTGACACTGCTGCTTCATCCTAAGGCATACCACTCGTGCGAGCTCTTTGCGTGTGTTCCCACCGACCCAGCGGTACAGCAGACCCGCAGCATCTTTCGCCGTACAGTAAGTCTAAACACACCTCTACAGCAGCAGAGTACCCCGATCACAAATGCAAGTGATTTTGCTTTACAGAACGAACCCTTGAGCAATTGTAATCAACAACACGGGAAGGAGCGGATGGAGGCTGTTTTTTTTTCTCCGTTGCGCGTCCTCCGTGTCCTGTACACATGTCTTGCTTCTATAGAGCGTGTCCAACTGGTGCCCACCTACCCTTTTGCACAAAATGGTGGTTTGCATATGTAGGCACAACGACCGCAGCGCGCTGCTGTTGGAAGCACACGGCCATCGTAAATATGGCAAGTTTCAGAGTAGGTCTAAACCCTGGAATGTTTTTCTCCGCTGCTGCTGCTGCCTCTGTGTAAATCGATGTGCCACTGCTGTTTGCCGCCCTTGAGCGCAAAGACATGTGGTAACTGCCGAGTAGTTCGAACGTGACCGAGCGGTGGAAGACATCATTGCCATAGAAGTTCTGTTCTTCGCACGGGGTGGTTATGGCCCCCACCCGGGTAACGTGTGCCCAATGATACGCACATCACCCCCACAGCCTCCAGTCCCGCTGTACCAGTACGCAGCACTATCAACGAAGCTGCTGGGGGAGAGTAGTGGTCTCCAGGTCGGAACATGGCACACCAAACGTTTTTCTCCTTCGTTTACGTATGCAGCGCACCCATCATGAGCACGTGTCCTTCCGGTTCACCCCAGCCAATGATATGTGTACGCAAGCGTAACATGTACTGCTGTAGCACCTTTGTATCCACGGATGGTGCGCTGACCTCAGATCAGCCGGTGGTGTTTGTTGAGGTTGCAGCGTTCTCAGGTTTGAGACGTCAAGGAGAGGGTACGTATTGTTGTTGTTGTTGTTGTTGTTGTCTTCACATTAAAAACCATCCCGGTCTCTCTATCCAGTACCTCCTTCTGTCTCAATCTCTCCGTACTAATCCATCACTTGACTCGGCCAATTTCCGTGGTCACAGGCTAACGTACCTAGAAAAGGTATACCAAAATAAAATGGACCCCAAGGGTCAGCAGAGCGATAAAATACAAGAAAACA